CATTTTGCTGTGTATGAAAGTCTGAACACCAGTACCTGAGTAAAACAGTGCATCTGCACTGGTGGCTATATGATGGGATTTTCAATAGCCTCAAATCTTCATAGAGATTTATAATCCCTAGTTGGGAACATACCATGACTGTTTTTCCCTTACTAAGACGTGGTTTCCCAACCTTGGCACTGTTGACTTTTTGGGAAGAATAATTCTTTGCTGTGGGGCTGCTCTGTTCATTGTAGTATGTTTAGCAGCATCCCTGGCCTCTACCTGCTAGATGCCAACAGCGCTCCTGCAGTCTGACAATTAAAAATGTCCAGATATCACCAATGTTTCCTAGGGTGCAAAGATGCTCCCAGTTGAGAACCAGGGTATAAGGTAAAATAAATAATTATCTTATTCTTCCTAAAAGAAAGATTTAAGCAATAAATAACTACTGTTTTTATATTCCAAAAATAATTAGCGTTTTCAAAATCATGTCATATTAAATGACATTCACATGAGAAAACATGTCTATGTATTAGCTACCCAATTTTAAAGTGAAGCTAAATAAAATATTAAAAAACTAAGTCCAATTTTAAAGAGGTAAATTGCGAGGGAGGTGGACAGGGGAAAAATTTAAATCATTTCTTCAATTAAAAATAAATAAATAAATAGAGGTAAATTGTATATTTTAACTATATTTATTTATCAAGTATATTCATTTAATTTAAATGCTGTTTTTAATGAGAAACTAAAATATAACAGAAAATTTTATCTTCAAAACAATTACTTTTACCTACAGTATTCCTCTTCTAAATGTGATCATTCTTTTAGGCACCTAAGGCTTTGAAATCTTCATTCATCTTTGAATCCCTCTCAGAAATTTTTTCCTCCACAAAATATGTCTGAAATCCACCTCACTGAAAAGCATAATGTAACGGATTCTCTAACCCTATCCAAAGCCTTCATTACTTAATGTCTATAAGACAAACAATAATAACTGGCTTTTCTTTCAGTATCTCCAAAGTGTTCTATAAACAGTTTTGGACATGTATATTCCTAAAATTTATTTCACTGTTTCTATACCCTACTTTAAATGGCACTGAGTTCAAAGTCAGCACCCTTAAATTTCAGACTCCCAAACTGAACTCATTATTTTTAATTTCCATTATCTCCAATAGTCATTCTTCATTCAAGTGAGTTTTCTCACTAGTTTTACCCTTTATTTTTCTGTCATGAACACCCTCAATTTTCCCCTTAATTTACACAATTTTCTCATTCTGTTAAAAGACAAGTTCAGATCCATTCTCCTTCAGGTCTTGATCTTCTAATGCTCCAGCTCTTATATAACTTTCCTTTATTCAAAACACTTATGTTGTAGTAATAGCTGAAGAAATCAGAGAAGTGGGGGTTTGAAGAGGCCACATAAAATGTAAATAATGGTAAAAGCAAATCAAACAAATTTAATATCCCAAAGTGATTTTAATTGTTTCAGATTACTCAGAGTAGAGGTCAGTGCATAGTATAATGTTAATCCTTTGATCTGTCCTTCTTGTCTCTGAAACTGATGGATAAAATAAGGGGATAGATTTATTTTATATTCTCTACTGTACTGTATAGGTCCAGCACAGAAAGATAGAGTCATGTAAAAAGTGCCTCTGGAAGGAATAAAATAGAGTATAAACAATGTAGTTTTGCAAAAACTCCTTCCCATAGAATTTTGGTCCACTGGAGAAATCCAATTTTCTCTTTCAAATGAATTTATTTAAAAAAAAAAAAATTCACCAAACACCAAGTAATTGTTTAAATGTTTAAGGCTTTAATTAGTGTAATAATTAAACTTTTACTCTACTGATTTTGAGGTTTACAAATGGTTTGTTTAAAATGATAGTTTGATTAACTTCAGCTTGGGAAACTTGTTAATAAAGTGATAACAGAAAAAGGTTTTTGTTTGTTTTCCTGATAAGAAAGTGTTCCTGATGTTAGAGATTATTTTACAATACCAAATAAACCATACGACTAAACGGAATAAAAATGAGAGAAGGTTATATCTTGTGAACTAATTTAAATAGAGAGTTACTGCCTCTTGGCAAATTTGACCAAATCCAATATCCAGAGTCTTTTATATACCTCTCCTAGCTCGGCCTCCACTCTGTCTTTTTAGGCATTAGCCCTCAATAATAATTTGGACTATGTCATCAGGGACCTATGGGTCACAAACTTGCTGACTGTGACAAAGACCCTCTGCCTTGGTCAAACTTTGGCAGGCTCCTCTGAATCCTTTTAGCATCACCCCTGGACTCTATGCATGGCCCACTTAGTCCGGTTTTAGCAAAAATCCAGTTGAGTCAGTTTACTGAAAATCCCACTTTCTTGATGTCTGATCAAATCTTTCATCTTCACCCTCAATATCTTATCACTCTGGCCTGTCTTCAGCAAAAATCCTGCTGAGTAAGTTAAGCCAGAATCGTCCTACCTCTGATGTCCCCTCTTAGTAATTTTCTACCCACTGATTCCCATCCTCCTCTTTCACTATAAATTTCCACTTGTAGTCAGAGTTAAGCTCAGTTTTTCTCTCTTAATACAAAAACTCCACTGTAGTAGAAATCTGCCATATTGTCTTTAACAAGTGACATAATTTCTTCTTTTATAACAAAGGAATAAATCTGAGCATGAGTTCCCATTTTCATTCCTCATCTGATTAATTTTTGAAGAAAAATAAGAGCTATTATTTATTGACCACTTACTGCATGTTAGCTGTCATAGTAACACTTTGCATGTGTGTTTAATCTTTAAAACAGTCCTGTGTCTGAGTGATGATATAGACTTGGTTGAAGGGGGATCAACTGTGATTAACTGGGCACAGGATAGAGCCAATGGACTGAAAGAAAAAGTGTTTACCTATGTGTAGCATATTGATAAAAATTGCTAGTAAGTATTAATCTTAAAATAGATTTCAAGAAATGACTCTGACTCAGTTTTAACAAATACATATTAAACTAAAGATCTCAACCGAGTTCCTTTAGTTCATCTGAATTTCCAAATATGTGTTAACTTTCCTGTTCCATTTTAAAATAATGTTTAGGAAGTATACTTCCATGCCATGAAGTTCTAAATAAAGGGAAGTTAATATAATTAAATAATATTGTGGATAAAAAGATTAAAAAGAAAAAAAGCAATGAATATATATTGATTATGGTTTTAAAGACCCACAAACCCATTGACCAGATCTCCTGGAGACACCTACAAAGTTATAAATATCAAGTGCAGAAATCTCTTCTTGAAGGAGTTGTCATAGGAGACTTGAATATAAAAAGAAGTGACATAATATCCATGTACATTTGATATAAAGATATCTTGCAGTAAACCTCTTAAATAAAACGTGCTGTTAGATTCACCAAGACTGTTATCCATACAAAGATATATGACAATGTATTTTCAGATGAAAATGTATACATATATAGTTTTTATGTATGTTCATACCCACATATCATATGTAATATATTCACAAATGTATAAATATATCAGATGCCTATAAATAAGTATATACTGTGTATATACTAGTATCAAAATTTTTAAAAATCTTAGACATATTTTAGACTTTTTAAATAAAACTATAACCTTTTAAATGAGATTATAAGCTGATTTCAACACTGTGAATTACAGCTTAAATGTTTTAATATAGCCTATGACCAGTTATGTTAGTCATATTTAAATATGCGCATACATATTTTACTTTTAAATGTTAATATAATTTTTAATATTTTACACAAAATAATAAAATTGAATATTTTATATGGAAAATGTGTGCAATTAGTGTAAGTAAAATATATGAAATATGATCAAATTTATGAAATAAATGCCAAAAGTATTTGTCAATATTCATATACATCTTACGCTACCATTATCTATTGTTTGCTTTTCAAACTGTGCACAAATAACTAGTACTTGAGCTCACTTTTTAAAATGTATTTGATACTTCTGATATTTCCTTAGTATTTCTTTTCATAATGATATTAGATATATTGTTGGACAATTCTTTGTAGAATTTATTAAAATATGCATGTTATTAACCATTAGCATTCTCATAGGTCAAGGAAGGCTTTGATTTTTTTTTTTTTTAATAAGTTTGCTAGTCCTCTTAAATAATGGTAAAACCAGATGTAGGGGAAAAAATAGGAAAATCAAAAAACATTTTGGCATTACTTACTTTCATAATGAATCTTGAAACCATTATTAGAACGGCTGTTGTCTGTTGTAAACAGAAGGTATATAAAATTGCTGCTACTAAATAGAAACTGGGGCACTTGTGTGCCATTGTAAGATCCAAGCAAGGGTGACAGAAGATTTGGCCCATCATGAACTTCCAGAACATCGTAATTTAGTTCAGTCTGAAATCTAAGATTAAGAGAAACATGTGAAAATGTATTTATTAGAATAATACTATATAGGAAAATAATATCTTAAATTCCTATTTAATGAACTATTTAAAATTTTTACCATTTTTATATTATAATTTCCTTTATCTAATATATATATATATACACATATATATACACACACACATTTTAAGACCCCTATCATTTGCAAATACCAAAGTTATAAGCTCTTATTCCTAGGGAGAATTATCATTTAAAAGATATGTATATATATATCTGTTGTTCATAAGTAAGATTTCTTTCCAATGTTATCGATTGTCTTTAGTAAGTAAATGGCCTTTTCACAAATGAGGCATATTTTTGGAATCATCTTTCTTCTGTGTTCTTCGTTTCTATGGAAAACTACATAATTTGCATTTACTCTTCGATCAGAAAATCAGATTCTCATCTTGATTGTGTATATATATCAAATCTGACCTCTGCTTTATATAGTGGGTTTTTTTTTTTTGACAAATATTTTGGCCATTATGACGTTTGCATAGTTTTTATTTCACAACAGTAGTTCTAACCATAAGTGGGTAATAATAATGATGACATAGTTGGTGTTTACTAAATGCTGAAACTCTTCTAAATACTTTGTTATAATAATTTATCTTAATTTATCTCATCTTCCCACTAACTCTATAAGTTAACTCCTATTATTACACTCACTTTGCAGGTTAAAAAAAAAACAAAAATCAAAAAACAAACAAACAAACAAACAAAACAGAAGCCTGCACTACTTAAACAATATTACATTTTCTTTAATGACAGAGCTATGTCTCAAACCCAAGTATCTGTTCCTAACCACTATGCTATATGGTTGGTTTTATTTTTAGATTCTTAGTTGTTGTTGCTCCGATCGCTTTTAATTTTTCAAAAAGATACAATTGTGTTATAAACTGCAATCAACGCAAAGCTACTTTTAACATGCATAACATATTAAATAGCATTTTGTGTTCTTTCCATTCACTTCAAGATTATACCAAATCCTAACTCTGGATTAGAAATCTTTGCTGTAGAAAAACTTCACATGGTTTCATGGAAAACTGAGTACCTTACTTCCTTGCCCATGATGATCCTGTAGCAAAGAAAATTATTTTCCTACCTTCACCAAGGTTTTCCTAGAGATCTTTCATTGTTCAGCATAAATGGGTCCATTGGAGGCCCTTCCCCAACATCAAAGTGTAAATTTGTAATATTAAGCACAGTTGTTTGCTTGTTTGATAACTGTCTCCTTTAAGAGACTATAAGCTCCATGAGGTCAGACAGTATCCGTTTTTGCTAATTCTTTGCATATAGCAGATACAGAGTCAATGTTTATTATATACATGTAAATGAATGGGTGAATGTATATTAAAGACAAAATGATCTTTCTTTTATCTAGAGCTGTTAACAAAATTCATGAAAAAAAAACATTCACCATACTTGGACACTGCAGTTTTAACCATGTATTTTCACTCTCTTAAAATGTATGTTCCAATACATTTTTGGTAACTAGTTATCTCCAGTACACTTTAAAAATTAATTTTCAGTTGAACTGTACATTTTTTTAGATAATCACTTTTACAATCACACCTAACAGTCTTTTCCAGAATTACAATATTAAACTACATTATTCTTCAAACAAACAAAAACAGATAAGTAAAACTCAAAACTTTGTCAGAAAAAATTGAATGGAATATTTAAAAATTAGAAATTTTATTTCATTTTAAAGTCTCTAATATGATTAAATGAGGCATATAAGTAGTCAAAATTAAGTGTGCAGTTTAATGCTATTTAGGAAGTACAACTGAAATACTTTTCACTATGTACCACTATTCCATCCTATTAAGCAATTTTCTTAGTAAAAGATTGCATAAGATTATCTTTTTATTTTGCAACCTGACATTTACTGCATTTGTCTAAAATAACTTTTCTAATAATTTAATTTAGAATAGGAAATGAATAGAAACACACACATTTGTATAAGAATGCATAACAGGCAGCTGTGCATTGTGAATCCATTATTTGGTTGTTTCGTAGTCAGTCAATTGTATTGAAATTGGAGTTTCACTTTGATAGCTAGTCACCCGATAATAACCAAATTAAAATGCACAGAAGAGTCAGAGATTATTTTAAACTGAAACATAAAAAGACTTAATTCTTAATAAAATAGGACCATTAAGTGGTGACATAAAGAACATTGTTAAGTAGGAGTGACTCTTTAAAAAGAAAATCATCACAGATTTGCCTTAAGGAACAATAAATATACATTATAATAAGAAAGAAAATGAAATAGAGTTATACAATAATTTGAATTTCTTTCATTTTGATTTTTTTTTCATTTTGCTGTTTTAAGATAGTTGTATAAATTTCTCATGAATTGCCTTAATCTAATGTCCATTTGTTCATGACATTCAATTTATTGTTTTTCATAAATAAATGTTATGGAACCACGGGACAATATTAAAAATCAAATTCGATCTAATCTTTCTCAATTTTTATTATCTTTTAAAAACATTCTTGATGTAATTCAAACCCATTCTAACCAAATTGAAATAGTCCTCAGTAACTTTAAAAAAAAAAAAAAAAAAAAACTCTCTGAAAGACTAATACTGATAGCTTGTGGTCAAATAGTTGAGGACAGGAAAAGGAATAGAAAGGTATAGAAAAGAAACATGCTCAGGATAAATAATAGTAAAATGAGTTCAGTTAGGAGCTGACAAATATTGAGAAAATTTAGGAACTGAGAAGAAACAAAGCAAAAATTTCTCTCCAGATCTGAGGATAAGACTTGTTAACTGTGTTTGGCTACGTTAGGAAAAGATAAATGTTAAAAAATCACACATGTACATTGGCATTATTGTTATTCTGTTTTATCTTTGATAAAAAATTATATTTCTGAAGATTTCACTGACAAGCTACTTCAGACAATTTCAAGAAGCTATCTAATGGCTAATATATTTGCAGTGATTTTTAGTTTTTTTCCTGTAGATTAATTCTAACCGACTGCTACATTTGAGATTATACGAAAAAAAAAAAATCCTTCAAAATAGCTATGCCACTATCTTAATTATATTATTTGATATTTAGAAATTTTATTTTCAACCAAATTAATTTATTCATGTGTACTAGAAAGCAAATGATATAACCTTGTAATTTGGAACCAAAGTCTATAAAAAAAATATATATTCTCAAAATGTGAGGGACTATTAAGGAGTTGGCAAAGTGTCCTTACAAGAGCTTGGCTGAAATTCAGGGAAAAAATGAGGTTTTTTCAAGAACATAATTCTCGTTAGATACTTCAGAGATATCTTGTTTCTTAAAACAATGTTAAGGGGAAATGAAGCACTAAGATATTGTAAAGTTACTCAACAAGGAAGTAATAGATGTACATATTTCTGATTTCAAAATGACTATTTTATGCCCTCACCCTAACAGATAAAACTCATTTATTTTTTTAACTTAATGAAGTCCCTGGTTCATTTGCTATGAACCAGTTTTCTGACAAAGCACATGGAGTGTAGGCAGCCCTAACACAAAATCTCATACCCTTAAATGGGCTTAGAAAAGAAGAAATAGATGATCTTTAAATAACTTTTCCTTCAAAAAGCTCCAACTCAAGAATT